GCATAGGAACCAGGTCATTATTGGCCACTTCCCCCGACTCGGCGACCTCGGAATTTCCCGGGCAAACCTTGGAATTTCCCGTCGTTCCAGTCGCTTAAAGCTGGGCTTTTTTGTTGCCTTGGGAGAGCTGCAATCACTCATCATTTTGGGATGCTTTGTGAGAATTCCAATGAAAATTCCCCATGAAAATTCCAATGAGCTTAAGAATACTTTAAGAATAGTCCGTATAGCGACGTCATGTGGCAAGTCATGTGGCAAAGCTAATGCCAGCTGCACCATCTCTTTAACATCATTAAGCAGCCATGAAAAGGGGTCATCACCAACATCATCCCAGTCATAACCCATAGGATCCATGTATGCTATATATGGTAACATTTACCATCAATATACCCCAAATGTTAGCATATATACCATACATGGGTCCTATGGGTAGGGGCATACTCAATTTCATAAACCTCAAATTTGGGTACGGGAATAAGCCGAGGGTGGTGGATTTCTTGACGACTCGCAGGTGACACCCCCAATCCCTCAGAAGGTATGAATAGATCCTTAAAGTTTAAAAGTGGAATCTTGTTGAATCAGCCATTTTTAAATAGAGGCAGAGAAGCCGGGAACATAAAGGCATATACAGCCTTTTTTGATCTCGCTTACCCATCAGAGATCAAAGACATGGGCAGATGCAGCCGGCATTTCATGGCGACCTGCTATTCCACTCACCGTTGACCCGTTGAAGATGTTGAAGGCACCATGCCTCCGGTCCGGCCCCGAGGAAAAGCGCGGCTTGCTGACGGAGAAAGAGGTTGACGAAGCCTTGAAGGCGATGAAACGTTGAAGGATTTATGCAGGTGTGTTAATACCGCCAACAACCACATTTATGTTTGGGCGAATCTCAACCATATGACTGGGAGGGTTCACCTTTGATAGGCTTGCGTGCCCATGATAATGAAGGATATTGATGGTTTGTGCCGGAACTGTTGGATTTGTTTCAGATCAACGCATAAGGTAAGACTTGACAATTTGACATTTTCAGAGTCCTTACAGAACCATTTGCAATATTTGTTGATTTCAGATGTGACCATCATAAATTTGATTTAACTGACCAAATGGTGATTCAACGATCAAGCATGGTGGACCATAGCCACTAAACAAGGATGGATTTAGCCTTGAGGGGCCAACCTATCTGCAAAAAGGGGTTAACCAACCAAAAACAGTGATACGTTTCAGTCGTACGTTACCAGGTACTTTTGATCACTCTTCTCTGCTTGTCAGGGCGCTTTCATATGCATATTCCTTGCATACTTAAGTGATGCTACGCTGGACTTCCTGGGTTTTGGGTAGGGTGGAGGGGGGGGTTAATAACGTTCAAGTTACCCTTCATACTGAAGTGATGATACTTTGGACTTGTCTTGGGCCTACGTCATGTCCTGGGTTTTGGGTGCGGTGGAGGGGGGGCTAATAACGTTCAAGCTACCTCGCATACTGAAGTGATGCTACTTTGGACTTGTCTTAGGTCTATACGTTATGTGCTGGGTTTTGGATGGGGTGGAAGGGGGGGGCCTTGCATACTTAAGCGATGCTACGCTGGACTTGTCTTAGGTCTACGTCTTGTCTTGGGGTTCGGGGTGGGGTCAAGGAGCGGCAAAAAACGCAGTGGATGTCCATAAGAAATCATATGGCTATAAGATTCTATAAGAACAAGAGAAGAATATATTCATTTCCAGAAAAAATCATTTCAAAACAAAAGTGATAAAAAAAAGAAAAACACAACTTAGTTGATGCCAAAATTGTCATTTTGCTGTAGCCAAACAACACTCGAGATACAAAAACATGCATTTTGCTCTGGCTCTGTGCGACAGGCACGAAACTGTGGTGCCATCTATTATAATTATTTTGTTTTTTCCAAAAAAACAATCCTGGAGAACCAAACCCATACCAAAACCCATTCACTACAAAAAAACACAAACACACATTTAAATAAAAAACGCCGTACATATCCCTAAATATTGAAAAAAACAACGACGTCACTTGGCTGCAATGATGTTCCTTTCGTCGTGCCGCGCGCCTCAAACGCAGTCGCGCCTTGTCGAGGCTGGTGCAAACAACCGGCACAGCCCAGCCCAGCCAAAAAGTTAGGGGCGCTCGCAAAGAGCGGAGAAGATGTGGTTGCAATGTGGTGCCCCACTTGACTTGTAAATGAGTCGATTTTATATGATGTCAAATGATGTCTTCACCCATGAAATCAATTCAAATCATGGGTATATCTACCTCAATTATATAAGAAAGTTGGATAAGTTGGTTGACTCACCGCATTGTGGGATTTCACTCAGGGTGATCGACGAGAAAACGGAAACTTGGACTTTGCACACCGGGATTTCCCTGAACCACCAAGGAACATAAGCATCGGTGGGAAACCAGAAAATGAATTCCCCTTAAGCATCATACCAGTAGTACCGCACAAGGCGGTGGCGGAAGTTTCAAAAAATAGGAAACCTATAGGAGA